AACAAGACACAATGGATAGTTTCTGATCACTATGGGCCTGCTGGACCTATTTTACCACGACAACTGATCTCACGACCCTTTACTGAGCCGCCTTCGGGTTGGACGCATCTACCATCCCTGGAACATTCCCCATAACCCGCCACACAAAGCACTACAAAGGTAGTTCATTACGCCAAACTCCCCATGCTCTCATACCAAACCCCCAACCCAATCCCCTCACCATTTACCCCCTGTAACATGGTGCCAGTAAAACCTGCCAGGTTGGCAGGAAAAGTTATAGATGGTAGATACATTTCTCCACGGATCCTTAGATTCATCATCTAAGCCGGTAATGCCAGCATAGAATTGGAGGTAAAGAAAAATAGCTCTTTACGTTGTATTGGTAAAACAAATCCTGGGGCTGGTGTTACCAGGAGTCTGATAGAGCTCTGGGTGGGACAGACTCCTAGTTCCATGGACCGTAGTTTAGTGAAGACTGCACAGGACTTCATTAGTGTGCAGCTGCACCTAGCTTGGGGGGGGGAGTGTGTGTCTCAGTGCAAGGAGAGACAGTGTGCGGAATGCAGCAAGTTATGTTTTTGGAGCCAAGCCTGTCAGCAGGACAGGGTTCTGTCGAAGGACTGTAACTGTTCCCATAAAGGAAACGGGCCCAGCTCAGCGGACTATCGCTAATACCCAGTAACTGCGAGTTTGACTCTACATTGAGACTGGTTCCCTACACCCCCTACTGACTTCCTTCTGTCCCTTACTTCCACATCTACATGCCGAACTAACCTCACTTTCCTGGACTCACGACCACTCCGAAAAATGACACCAAAGAACCAACTACCGTAATGATGCACTCACTGAGCTGATATGCTACTCGTGACAGATACTTAGATATACTACTACCTCAAATTACCTTGGTGACAAACCACGACTTACCCAAGAACCCCAACTGGGACACGAATGATGTTGCGGCAACATCATAACTGGAACTGACCACTGAGGAACCCAGCTCGCCTTCTAATTTAAAAATTGATTTAAGTAAATCTGAAATCCTGAACACATTGGTCCCTCCCGAGATGGCCTCCCCTTTAAAGTCTACACTGCCTTTCATATGGCAATCTTCAAAATTCAAATATCTCTGTATTTACCTTACTCACCGATACAGTCACCTATTTACAGCCAACTACATTTAAATATTAAATGTGATCTGTTGAACTGGCATAATAATAAATCCCATATATGCTGATTAGGCAGAATTAATATTGTCAAAATGAACGTTCTTCCCAGGGTTGTATTGCTCTTCCAGACGCTTCCTCTTGCCCTACCCCCATATTACGGTGAGACCCTTCACAAGCTTTTTCGTAAATGTATATGGAAACGCTCCAGAGCACAAATCTCCCATCAGGTGCTTATCAGATTGAATTGGAATGGTAAACGACCCTTTTCTGCTCTCTATGAATACGCTCCGTCAGTGAGATAAACTGTATGTCAGACTATAATCCGCTATTACTGCCCTTATTAGGTCACTCTTACTTCCCCCCTGGATTATCCAATGCGGGATTCTCTCTTGGACTTCCACTTCTCCACTCTGGCTTCATCAACTATGCTCAGGGACCACTTTACTGACTCTGCAACAACTGAGATCCAAATGGGGAACTAGGGCTGCAACAACTAATCGACATAATCGATTATAATCGATTATTGAAAACGTCTCCTTTTGACACCTAGAGATATTGACAACTCCACCACTTCTTTATGTCTTTACCAAGACCACTCAGACCTCAATGTGTTCACCTTTAGACTTTACCAACTACTGCTACAGTCTCATACTGCCTTTCTCATACACAATGAGAAAGAGATTTTTCCACTACACTATCTGAGGATCATGGTACAAGAATTCTTCAATTCTGTCCCACATCGTCTATTAGCCCACAAGTGGTGGAATCATCCTATAAAATTGTATCTCGCTGGTATTATACACCCGTACGCCTACACGTAATGTTTGCTTCTAACTCTTCACAGTGCTGGAGGGTTTGTGGTGGCCAAGGTACTTTCCCTCATCTCTGGTGGTACTGCACAAAGATTAGGAAGTTTCAGTCTCGAGTGATCCGCTATGTATTCCTTGTCACCGCCCTATCAGTAGCACTGGATCCATGGATCTGTCTCTTTCACTGTCCCACTCTACCTGAAATGGAGTACAAACGGTCTCTTATTCCCCAACTGCTAAACGCAGCGAAACTGCTGATACCAACTCACTGGCGCAAAACCAGTATACCTTCGACCAGAAAATGGTTCCGAAAAATTGCCTATTTACGCTTTATGGATGAACTTACCTACATTTCCCTTAGACAAACTCTCACTATACAAAACCATATGGCAACCTTGGCTGGATTTTCAACTTACTACAGTATAACTACGAATAATGTCTTAAACTTTCTGTTTTATTTTTCCTCATATAGTACACTGGGCATGTCACATCACGTCAAAATCCTGCGCATCTTCACTGTGGTTCTTTCTTTTCTTCCTCATTATCTTCTTTCCTCTATCTCCTTTGCTTTCTCCTAACATTCTCTGCTTTTCCTTATTCCCCCTCTCTCTACTCTCCTCACGTGCTTAGACTGATGCATAATGTCGGAATACTGCAGAGACTCTGCATTGATTACTATTGACTTAAAAGTTTTAAACATGTCGCTGTTGCGTCTAGTTTATGTCTAGTTTATATTTATGACATTTGCATCGATAACGGTTTATCTATCTTTTCCCTATTCTGTTTTATATTGTGAAAATCCAATACATTTTGATTAAGAAAAAAAATGATGCCTCTTGATCTGATCATCTTCTTCTTTGCAGTAGTTTTCAGGAGTCCCTCCAGTGCTGGTGCCGGTCTCTGATCCAGCACTCACTGTCTCTTCCTATCCCACAGAGTCTGTGTGGGTGCACGCTGCCTGCATTAACTTACGGTACCCTCTGCCTCTCCTCTTCTCCTGGCCCGAAGATCTGCACTGCGCATGCGGCCACCCCATGATCCTTTGCGGCCGCCCGAGAATCTTCAGATCGGAGCGTGCGGCGGAGACACAGGTAAGTTTTAGCCCTTTTGTAAACTTTTAAAATGTTTTTGCATATATTTACAGCTTGCTAGCAGTAGATATATGCAAACAAATGCAAGGCTTTAATTATCCTTTAAGTGTAAAAAAAAAAAAAAAAGAAGAAGTTTTCAAAAAATCAAAGAAGCATAAAAAAATTAAAGGTCACATATTAAAAAAAATGGTAAAAGTCCCCCGCCCCCACATACACATGCATCGGGTACGCCTATGTGTGATATGTTACATATCACCGCGAGTGTCGGATCGTGAGCAATAATTTTAGGGCCATTAGGTGATGCCATAAAAGGTTTTAAGGCATCACCTATGGCAAATTTTGGGTGTGGTAGTTTTTTGCGATTTTGCGGACGCGCGCAACTTTAAGGCTTGACATGTTTGGTGTCTATTTACCCGACATGACCCCGTCTTTTATATTTTACCAAAAAATTCGGGTGATAACAAATGTTTCATAACATTACATAGGGAAACAGGTTTTTTTTCAAAATTTTCAGTATTTTTTTTGTTGTATAGTAAAAAAAAATTAAAACCCCAGTGGTAATTAAATACTATTAAAAAAAAGCTCTGTATCCCCAAAAAAGGGTTATAAAAATAATTTCATTACAGCGATGCATGACTGAGTCAAAGTACTGCAGCGCTGAATACTGAAAAATGGCCTGGATAGGAAGGGGGTCTTCAAGTGGTTAACATGGCCACTTTTAGAAGACCAGGGAAGAAAAGAAAAATAAGGTATACAAAGAATAAAAAGCCTGCAATTATCTACAGTAGTATGTGTTTGTATGCAATTATGTGTTTGTAGATTGCCATTACTTAACATTTCTAAAGGTGTATTTGTTGTTATTTTAAAGGTATGGGTAAAGGCATGCTCTAACTTAATCCAACTGCTGTACTTCCGCAGTTTGTTTACATCCAGTGCTGCAATTCTTCACAGCCCTAGCGGTGCCTGCACAATAGTGTCCCATAAACTTCTATGGGTCTATGTAAAAAAACTAGAGATGCTGAGGGCTCTTGAGAGGTGTACTTAGGCAGGGTGCTGTGATGTTTTCAGAAAGCTATGTATAGCACCATGTCACCCACTCCCACCAGCCATGATCTACCTATATTGCATAGAGAAACACATAGACCAAATGATGATATCAATGGATC